GCAAATTTTAAAGGAAGATATTAGACATTTTTTTGTAATTTCTATTTTCATTTTGCCAAGGTTTTAAGAAGGATATTATTTTTTACATTAACTCTTGAGCAACATTAACTATTATAAGCGTACACGACTTATATCTTGGACTACAGTACAGTACAGTAATGTACAGTACAGAACAGGACAGAATAGTGCAGTACTGTATAGTGCAGTACAATACATAGTATTCAGCTGTAAACTTCTAAATTAAATAGCAAAAATAATGAAGAGAATGAATTCATAAATAAATACGTTTTACTCAGGACATACATTGTGGAAATGATAAAAAAATAAGTGTTGGAGAATCGAAATAATTCGTAGGATATCTTATCACTTACATACCAAAACTATAATGTCATAGTTTAACTGGCACTTTCATGCCGATTTTGTGTCGTACATTTTAGGTTAGAATAAAGAAAGACAATGGTCTGCACATTTACGTGAGTGATTCGCGTCTTATTTACTTTAAGCTCATCAATAGATTTTAAAGACAATTAATGGCTCATTAAACCTAAGAATTGAATAGTTTTTTTCTTTCTGTAAAAACAAACTTGTGCTTGATAATGTTTGTAATAATTTATTCAGAACACGCGGTATGCTTATCGCCTGAATAAGTGTTTAATGCGAAACAATTTGTCTTTTTAGAGGTATCAAAATGTAAACAAAATGGTATTACAATTTCCAAACAAAAACTAAATCACTATGACTGAACTCCCCCCCCCCCCGAAAAAAAATAAATAAATAAATAAAAAAGACGAAAATAACGAGTCTGTTATATGGCCATTGCGATAGTTTTTGGTAACTGCAACTTTAATTTTTAATTTGAAAGATAAAAATATTTTCATTCGCAATGGACCATTAAACTCTAAAGCCATTATATATAAATTATAAATTGTTAAGCTGATTTATTCCATAGAAAATCAAATTAGGAGTATTAAATATTTAGCTTTTATAAGGTAAACGAAATTAAGGTTAGGATTTTTTTTAGATTTTAAATTTTAAAGGCCGTAAAACAAATATTTTATCAACATAGATTCATATACAATTTCATGCATATTACTTATTACATCAATATCAATAACCGATTATAAAACGTATGGAAACGATTCAGCATTATCATGCGTTTTGTAATCGGTTATTGAAATGGATGTTATTTATGATGTAATTGATCGTAAATTATTTATTTACCACATTGTTCAATTCCACATGTGTCCCAATCGTCATTGTTTGACGTCCAACACCAGAGAAAGTCCTTTCCAACTTTACGACAAAAGTTGCCTGCATCTGATACAGTAGCGTCACGGAAATCCTTATTTGTGTAAATATTGCTATCGGGGGAAGAATCCCATCTTATGCATGGTGTCCCATTCTTTGTCGTCTGCTGATGTCCGATGTACTCATTTATCGATGTACTAGGGCAGTCTTTAACCAAACCTAAAAATAATATGGTTCTTTTATAGACTATAATCAGTTCAATGGAAACACACGCTTTTCTTTAGCTTTCGACGAAAAGTCGTCTTTAAAAAAATGACGCTTTTTATAGAGTAGTATGTAGAAACCAATTACATACAATACCTGTATTAAAACATTGTTATATGTACTCAGTTTCTTTACTTTCTTATAACTTTTTTTATTTCTTTTTTCAAATTAAATAAACAATTGACGAATACATGTGGTTACGGAACAGTTTAAAATTCTTATTTACATTGTATTATCCTCATCATCGTTACTGGTACATCTTAAATTATCATAATCGTCGACATAGTTCTCGTGATCGTCGTTAGCACTATAATTGTGATTACAAGATCACAATTGTCATAGTTGTATAGATTATAATCAACATCATAGTTATGATCGATGTTGTCATTGTCAAATTATCCCTACTATAAGCATCATCTTAACAATAACCATCATATCATCAGTATGATGATTATCATTCTCATCATCATCATCATCACTGTTTTCACCACTGATATCATCATTTTTATCATTATCATAACCGTTAAGATCATCAAGTAAAGAAGCCATTGCCCTTTAATAATGTGAAATTAATAAAGGATGCGATTTACTTACCTGTCCCAGTGATAACACGTGTCACTAAAATGATTGAAAAAAATCCGAAGGAGAAACTGATGTTATTCTTCATTGCAAGCATGTAGTATAAAAAATATTTATATTTAAAACAAATGGGAAGTAATGTTCACATTATATGTCAATACATCAACATTATATGTAAATACATTATGAATCTAATAAAGGCAATGGTGATGTTTTAGACTTCCTGATACGCGACGTTTTCCTCGTTGTTCTCGTTTTTTCCCTCACATGTATTTCTGGCATAAGTATCAGAATAAGGAAAACATTATTAAACAAGAGGAAAATATAATTATTTTATATAATAAACATTGATATAAATGGAAAAGTATTCACTATCAGTAGATTAAGGTTTTCAGCTATAGCTAGCATCACTTCCACCCAAACCTTGTCAGTTTAATAGAAAATGAAAAATTAAAACTGATAGTTAAGAGTCAGTTATGCAAAGATACATTCGATGAACGAGACTGATTACAAATGGCTAGATCAATTGATTAATGAAATATTGAACTCAAGAAAAAACTTACTTACAAAGACTAAACTTTCATTGATTTGAATACTTCCATTGTATGTTCCTGTTTTTAAAGAAATCTTACTCTTGGGATTTGAGTATTATTCCCTTCATGTGCATGCTTATGCCTGATAGGAAAGTGAGGTCTTTCTATACTTGTTAAATTTTAATACCATATGGAATAACGTTGGGAATTTAAACTTTACAAAAAATCCTAAAAAAAATGACGAAATATAGTTCAAATAATTATATCAATACTCGTCGAATCATCTTGATATAGATAATTAGACACAGTGATATGCAGGTTTCTGATCACCTTTCAAAATTCAAATTGTCTACTCTCGTTTAAGTACACGCTTTCCAAAAACGCAGTTTTTCATGGAATGGCAAGAAAGTGTCGCATTGACGGTTACATGATAACCGCCGTATGAACACATCTGTGGCTGTTTTTAACGCAAAGTTTCAAGATTTTAATGTTTAAGCGTTGAATTCTACTGAGTTTTGTACAAGGGTGCATGAAAATTCTTAATCAAACCGAGCCTGCCACATATACAATATTGCCATTTGGGCGTTCTTTAGGGATTCCGATTTTCTCTATTTTGATAAAATATGCAAATGCGAAATCAGACTGGCATACAGTTTTACATGCCCACTTTCATGCACATACTTTAGTATATGGAAATTGTATATGATGGCTGAGGAGGAAAAAGCACGCTCCGTAAATATGTCTTCCTTTTTCACTAAATATGTAACATAGCGTGCGTAGTGATTCGTAGCAAGCATAATCTGATTTCAAATCTATGGATCCTCTGTTCGATGCCAACTTTTCTACTTAAATCAATCGCTTTTGTTCAATCTTTCTAATGTGACTTAAACAAAAGAGATCCCAGGTAACGGTGCTTTACATTTTACCTGATTTTTCACTTGATGGTTCTAATTGAATTGAAAATAATTTGGTACAGTAACGATATCCCAACGAAGCAAAAAAAATAACTGGTAGTTTCCTGGATTAATCCGCTGCCGACATTATATAAGAATCAATTTATTTTAAATTGCCTTCTTCAAAGACCCAAGGATTTCAAAAGTATACATATCCTATTTCAACTATTTCAAGAACTAGTTAGTCCGTACTGATAACGTTATAGTCATGCAATGTACAGTTAAGCCATTTAGTGCCCAAAAAATAATACATTAATAGATTTAAATTAATTTAAGTAAAACAATGTGAAGTTTGTGAAGACATTTGTAATATAATATTTAGCATTGTATTTAACTTGTTACATCGATAAATTTCTTGATTGCTTTAAAACTGTCGTACTTTATTTCGCGATAACCATTTTTGTATTATAATGTATATTTTAGTGTGGCTGCTCTTATTCCAGTCGCAACTCCTCGGCCCTATCCGTCAGTCTTCGGATAAGGACCTCGAACACATTAGTATAAAAGCACAGAACGGATGCGGTATTTCGGTCTAACCTAAGCTAAGAAGTAAAACATGTAAACAAATAGTTAATTAATGCTGGGAGTTGTTGACAAGTTTATTTCCAATATATGAAGTCCACCTAAAATAAGTGACTTCATAGGTACTAAAGCAAACAATACATTATTTATATATTTATTATTATGGTTGTAAAACCGAAAGTACAAAAAACCAACCTGTCGACATTTAGTCGGATTTGTTTAAAATTGAACATCAGTGGGCATATTTAAAGTCAGACTTAATTCAAGCAAAAGAGTACCGGAACAGACATTAGATGTCAATATACACATTCGTTTTACATTATCTCTGTTTCTGTTTACATCTGAAACCACGTGGTAGAACTACTTTCAATCCGTATTGTTTCCGAGGTTATTAAAGATAATAACCGAGGCAGTTCCGAATGCTCTTATTCAGCAATTAACATGATATTTAAATGACAATATAGTATGTGTGTATGCATGTATAGTATGATATAAACTTATTTATTAAAATACATGTGGTAATTTTATATGTGTTTTTGACTAAAAAGGATGTGATAATAATTATCCGGTGAAGTCTATATCGTTTACCGGATGTCACATCATTGTAACACTTAAAACGATTAGAAAGAACTCGTGAAACTACTCACTCACTTTATTTAAAGCTCCGGATGAATTATAACATGAGGAAAATGTTAAGGAATAAATTTTTCTTCCTTTTCTTCATATTCTATATTTTATTACTATAAATGATTCTAAAGGACTCTAAGTGTTTTCAGAATGTCAACGATTGTCAGTTCTCTGTGCGTATTATTTTTGGTCATATTATCGACACCGATAGAATCTAGAATAGGTAAGTTTGAGGTTTAATTTATTGAAGCATTTTCTGATATGCTGTACTTTAAATACATATTTGTAACAGAATTTTGAGTGACCAGTTATTTTTTACATACATTGTTTTTTCCGTTCTTCGCTTCCGTTTTTGTTTTAGTTTTTTGTGTTGTTTTATTGTGTGTTTTTTTAACCAGTGTCAGGGGGCGTTAGAGATGTTATTTTTTTTATTATTCCTCATGAACAGACTCAGTCAAACCGAGTCTAAAATTTTCATGTAATTTTATCGTAAATAATGCTTGTGAGTGATTATTTTTCGGACTTTTATATATGTATACTATTGAAAAACTGCAAAATGTACTGCTGTTTTATTTTGAAGCATCACGCAAACGGCGCGGGATGTATTTGATATTGCCTATATGATTGCATGTTTATGATTTCTTAAATCATTTTACCTGAGCTAATAGTAGCGTGGCCGAGCACGAACAACTTTTTTTTACATTGTCATAAAAATTATTGTTGTGTCTGTGGGTATTTTGATATTTTTATTCTTTCTTTTTGTTCATTTCTTTTTCATTTGTTTTCTTTTTGATTATGCACATTCATAAATTGTCCGATAATGCAACAAAAAGCGACATTGAAGTATTTCCTTTTTTACATGAAGTTCATTTCCATTTGAGTAAGCATATATGTGTATATACACATGAATTCATGTAAACTTACTATATACATGTACAAATGTGGGAATCTGCTCGCGTAGGAATGTATATATAGGAAAATATCTTTATATTTATATTTTCTTTATAAATATTAGTAACGATTACAGTAAAAAAAAATACAGTCGTCAAATTCAACAGAAATTTAAAAAAAATGACTGAAAAGAAATAAAACTATAATTTAACGGAATAAATAATGAGTCATATACATGTCTGTAGTTTATATTTTAAAAAATATAGTTATAATTAATATAATTATATAATTTTTATTATTAATATTATTATTGTTTTTTTTTAAATCTTACTATTTAGAAAACTTTTCGATTTCTTGATAAATTTAAGATAAACATTTACATTTGATACAATCACAATATTTTAAACGGTAGCGTTATGGGTTATATAGTGCATTTAAATACTAGTATCTCTCTATTTTTTAAGTATGCAATATCCAAATGTTTGTCTCAGGTTAATGTTGCATTCTATTTTTTAATTAAGCATTATCCGAACGTTTATCATTTTTGTTGAGGTCTTTTTGTTGTTGATGATGTTTTTTTTCTCAATAACATGATTTTTGTATATTGGTTGACAACATCTACTTGGGGTATTTGCATTATCGGTTAGATGTTATGAATAAATTATTTTAAGCTTCATATATCTAATGAATTTGTGTATTGTGAAAGTTCCGAAGTTTGTCTCAAGTTTACGTTGGAAATTAATAATATGTACATGTACTTATATGAATATGTCTTATTTCTAAACAAGTATATTTTTCTCTATTTTTTACAAATCAAAATATCTCTGTTTATATTCCATATTGCTGATAAGGTACTATCTTATAATATGTTTCCTATTCTTCTCTTTTTCTATTCAAATCCAGTCTTCTAGGTGATGTTGCTAATTTTTGATTACCTGTCTGTCGCCGTCGTCGGTACAATTTTACGAGTACTAAGTCTGTGTCTGTTTAGGTTGAAAATGTTTTAAGTGCTTACCGCGCGGCAATAACAGCACTCAGAAGTTACATATTGTAGCTATCCGTATAAAGCGCTAATGAAAGTTTTTATCTTTTAAATGCAGTATGTGGTATTAATACGACGTGCTACCTGGTTTATCTATTCGAATATTGTCAATCTTCATTTTGGGGCATTTGGGTTTTTTATATGTCGATAATCAATTGACAAATGAACTTGTTAACTTCTTCGAAGCATCGAATAGTTTATCTCAGTCATTGAACTTACATTTTTCAGTTCTTTTATCAAATCTTATAATTTTATCAGGTGAATATTGAATTAAATTCAGGGCCAAATGATATCAATGACGGATCTTTATCAGTTTTTCATCAGAATATAAAAAGTATCCGGAATAAATTGAATATATTACAGATAACTGGTATCTGTTTTACGGAAACACATTTGGACAACTCAATCAATATTGACAGCTTGAAACTAACTAACTTCAGCAAAATATACCGTAAACACAACACGTGTCACTCTGGTAGACTTTTGGTTTATGTTAATGAGAAGTTCGTGTCTAAAAGGCTAATTGATTTTGAATATACCTTACCCGAATCACTTTGGATTGAAATAAAAGACAGTTCATAGCTAATATTCATCGTCCATCGAATACAAATGTAGACTTTTGGGTAAGATTGAATATATGTCTAGAATAAATCAAGTAGAGTTCTATTTGTAGGTGACATTAATGAAGACCTGTTTAACATTAGGAATATTAATTCTAAATAATATTATAATGTTATTACGGAACCGACACAAGTCGCAGACAACTCGTCAACTCTTATTGATCCAATTGCTATCTCAGACCAGAATTTAATTCTACATTCGGGTATTTTTAAGACATCGCGGAATATCAGTGATCATTTTAGCACTTATATTGATATCAAATTTAAATTACCCCAATCTGTACCTTACAAAACACTTGTATGGTATTACAACCGCGCTGATTTTGCGAAACTTAACGATTTAATAATAACAACAGACTGGTTATCTCTTTACGAAACATTTTCGATAAAATCTGCTCAATGCTGAAGATGTTTGCTCTAAAAAGTAAATTGCGACTGCCAAAAGTACATCCTCTCTCTCTCTCTCTCTCTCTCTCTCTCTCTCTCTCTCTCTCTCTCTCTCTCTCTCTCTCTCTCCCTCCCTCCCCCTCTCCCTCTCTCTCTCTCTTTCTCTCTCTCTCTCTCTCTCTCTCTCTCTCTCTCTCTCTCTCTCTCTTTAATCACATCAAAGTTTAGAAATCAAACATTTGTTATGAGACGATGCAAGTTTTGTCCTGTTCTAATATGACAGCCAAAAAAATAACTTTAAAAATATTCTTTTCAAAAATTCAAAGGGCTAGACCTGAGATATTTAGCATGAAACATCGTCTAGTGTGCGACTACAAAGTGCGTTCAAAGAAGCCCTCTTTCCTAATATGTATGTTGTTGAAACAAAAAATTAAAAAATCTTATATTATTCTATAGAGTCTTTAGATATTCAGTACGAAACATTGTCTTGTGGACCTCTATAAAAAGAATTATAGCCATTCGGTCAAAATTGGCCTCGCCCAGGGGAAACAGAGATTTTCTTTATATGTATAAAATAAAATCTATAAATAAATCTCCTCTGAAACTACATGAAACATTATCTAGTAGACCACTACTAAGGTGCTTAAATCATAAACCTTCCACCCTAGAGGGTCATGGCTTTTTCTCATATAGAAAATACTTCAAAAACTATTTTATTGAAAACTGCAAGGGCTATGCCACATATATTTAATATGCAGGAAAGTATGTCGGACTTCAACAAAAATTGTTCAAATAATAGCCCTTTTATCAAATTGGCCCTGCGCCCGGGGAACATAGATTTTCTAAATAAGTTTATAGCAAAAACGTTAAAAGTCGTCTTTTCTAAGACCGTGAAAGCTAAAACTAAGTTTTTTCATGACATATTATCTAGTAAACCTTTACCAAGTGTGTTTGAATAATAGCCCTTTGGTAAAAAGTGGCCCCGTCTCAGGTGTCATGGCTTTTCCTTATACATGTATAGTAAAAATCTTAAAAAACTTCATCTTGAAGCTTAAAGCTTTTTTTTCAACATGACACTTTTATCTAGAAACCTCTATCAAGTTTATTTACATTATAGCAATAATGTCAAAATTGGCCTCGCCACAGGTTTTCACGAGTTTTCATAATAAAGTGACTATTTCAAAAGGCTTCTGTTCAAAGACGTCAAGAGCTTTATCATAGATATTTAGCATAGACCTCAAAAAATAATTCAAAACATAGCCCTGAAGTCAAACTTGGCCAGTCCAGGGGGAACATAGATTTGTTCAACAGTAAAAAGTCTTCTTCTTTAACACCCTGGAGGCTAAAACCTTGATTTTTGGCATCAAACATCTTATAGACCTTCACCACTCAGTGACCTCTCATAGTAACCATTGACTCACATAGCAACCGCACACACTCCAAATGGCAAGTAGTGGCTTTTTAGTAACTATTGTTTTCCTTAAACAATTATTTATAGCAACTAGTAGTGTTTTAAACGTGCAGAATTTCAGATACAAATATTAATTTTGTGATACCAGTTTAAAATTTAGATTTTATATCTGCTTTCGTTTTGGTTTTACAATATTACTTGTTCCTTGTCATTGAATGTATTTATCTTCAGGTGAGCGAAATAAGGGCAATCATGGTCCTCTTGTTTTCTATCTCAGTGGAGCACCTTTAAGGGTCAAATGAATTAGTTTTCGCTTTTATCATTATATGTATTTTTCGTGTATAATCATTTCAATGACAGTAAAATAGTGAATGTCTTATTTGCATATTCTAATAACGTCGAGGACTAACATTGTTTTTCATTTAACACCAGTTAATATCTAGTTTATTGTATTACGAGCTATAGGCACACATTGTGGACGAGTGAAGCTCAAATCTGAGAAGGTGGTAAAACATGGGACCGTAGAAATTGAATATATTCCGTCAATTTACGTAACAAACAATATCAAACCATACTGGGTACGCTCTGACAACACGAGTGCAAAGGCGTTAACATTTGGTAAAGGTACTTATGAACAGACACAAGAGCAAAATAACAAAAATGTGCTGACAATATACATGTTCAGTGCTTCTATGAATGGAGGATATGGTGTTTATTGCGATGAAAGGTTACAGTACACAAATATTATAAGCGTAGAATTACCAGGTTGGTTTTTGTTTCTAAAACTTTTTAATTTTGTTGAATCATTAGAAAACTAATGCATAAATACAATTGATATTAAAACACATAAAACGAGTAGGCAAAACGATAACTTATATTTATGCATTCCATAAGTGTGACCACTTAAAAAAAAACATAACAAAAAAATAACAAACACAAAATTAGCACTTTTCGTCTGATTTTTCTGTGTATAATTTCCCGTTCATGGCTGTCTTCCTTTCATTTAAATAAATGTTCGGACATTTTTCATTGACGTGGTTTTTATATTCATTAGTGTTTTAATTATCCTGCTGATGATATTGTGACACTGTTAGAAGTATAATTCAATTAAGTAAGGTAAACATATGTTTGTTGTTATTAAATATTATTACCCCTCACTTTTTTCGTAATGCTAATTTCCCATAGGCCTCTGGGAGTTATTCTTACTGTTAATGCAAGTGTACCACGTGCCTAAGAATTTTGACCTGTTACATAGATAACATTATTTTTTTAACAATATAAAATCTGGTCACGTGGTCTATTTTCTAAATAAAATGAAATAAAATGGCCGCCATTTTTTTCTGGATTCATTCTTATTTTCGACGTTAAACCCCGATAGGACATCAATTTCTTTTCTGGAGTAACTATGACACTTATGAAATATAGTTGTTTGCACCCTGGTGTGCTTTTCGCGTATAAAATATCTTTTTGTTGAATAGTCAAAAAGTGAACATCCGTTTTCAACGGAAGTAATTGCAATGTAAATAATAATGTGTCAAACTGGAACATGTAGACGATTTAAGCATACAACAAAGGATTATTTAACAATTTTAATCAGTGAAACGTTACAGATATGGTGAACAGACATAGGATATCATCGTTATTTTGTCAAAAACCATGCTAAGAATATTCTGGAAACAGAAAGATCAGATTTCACAGAGCATAACCGTGTAAATGGGTTAGTGTTTTGTTTTCTAAATAAAACCTAGCTTATTGTGTGTTTATGATTTGTAGATATCATCACTTGCTTAAAGATATACTATGCTCAAATTTGATATCAGAAAATTTTGATAATTGCTACACAGTCTCTTTGTAAATATGAAAAAAACATGTATTGACTACACACAAAGTTAATATGTCATATTTAAAACTCTACACACATAGGTCGTCACAATATAAATATATAGTGTCGTTAAAAAAACTGGCAGTTTTTTAAAGAAAAGACCGAACTTTGCTTGTCTTGTAATAGAGAACGTGACTTCAAATATAGTTTATATGTCATTTTTTATTTAAATTAGACATATTCAGTAAGACTTTCATAGGTTTTAATAAATTTCTTTGATTAAAATATTTTTACTCAAATATGAGCATAGTATATCTTTAAAGAATAAAAGAAAAAGAAAACTTCTAAAGTAGGCCTCAAGTACACTTAAAACTTAAAAGGTAAGGACAGTTTAGTTATTGTAACTCTTGGTTTATTTTTGTTACAGTTATATTTAGTTGACAATTTCAGATCATGACAGTATTTTTGTTCGGGGTAATAAAATAAATATTCTTCGCGTCGGGTAACAGTTTTTTCGTCGGGATGATATTTTTACTGTTACCCACAAACCCATGTGTTATTTACATATTACTGATATATAGACTTGACTACATTTGACTTGAATTTGTGACATGAGCAATATTGATGTTTTTAATTTGTTTGTTTTTCTTTTGAATATTGTATCATTTATTTGGTTATACTGTACAGTACTTTTGAACGTGTCAATGTGCATGCAAAAAGTGCTTAAGAAGTTTGGTATATAATAATAATAACAATAATAATAATATAATCTTAAAAACAGGCATTAAATTATCTGTAATTAACATTTATTTTGCAAATTTCAGAACCACCCAGCGTACCTGTAATAAATGGAATACAAAACATAGAACATTGCACGGGCTGCATTGTTGGTGAGGATAATGATAGGATTGCACTTGCATGTGAGATACACGGTGGCTCCCATCCTCTAAATGTTACCATAACAATAGGAAATGAATCGTTTCCCGCGCAAAAATATCTTTCAACAACCTATAAAGTATTTTACACGGTTAGGGACCAGCATCACATGGAAAATGTGATATTTTCAGTCATGAACGGTGCATTGTCGACACCTTTAAGTGTTACTGCTCAGATGTTTGTTATAAGTAAGTATACTATACTCATTTATGTTATATTAAGCATACATACTTACATACTAATGTTGTAAGAACTTGGGCCCAACCCGTTTGCTTTTGCTGTTTAAAATACATATGAATTTTGTATCTGTATTGTATATACATGTATATAGCAATAAAATATGATTAAACAATACATACTTAAGGACAACAAACGCTTTGTTTAAGAATGTTTTCACAACAAAAGCATTTATAATAGTATTTTCATAAACATTTGTCTTTACCTTTCTTTGCTGTAAATGAGACACCACTATATTTGAAATTAATTTAGAAATGAAAAAAATAATTGCGTAACAAATTGTTCTCAAAACATAGAAATGAATACTTTTGGTCACATATGAATATGTTTTTAGGTTGAGGCGTCGTGGTACTTTTAGTTGTGATTTTTAATCATAATCTTTATTGAAATATTTAGAAACATTGATGAAATTAAAGGTATTGTTTCTGCATTTGTAAAATCACTGCAATGCAACAAACTTTACAAATTTCCACTGATATCTTATCGGACAACTGCTTCTAAAGTATATAATAAAGTGAAAGTTTAAGTGTTTTTTTTAAAAATACGAGAATTATTATTCATATAATGGTATGAAAATTTTAAATTCCATAATATTGATTATGAAATGTAATTTAATCAGGTTAAAAAATAAAATATTGTTATAAGATATTGTAAAATATTAAATTTTCTAAGTCGAATCCACAGGTGTCAAACCTATATTAGCGATGCGCTAGTCGTGTCTGATATAGGTTTTTGCCACTGTGTACGAGTCATTGTCCTCAATATATACCTATGTATAATGACCTCTTTAATATTTGAAATTTTGACAGAAATTATAGCTTCAAGTATGTTAAGGAATGATATGATTGTTTTACCCAGCAAATAAAAAATGAAGATAGATGGGGAACTATATCCATAAGATAAAGATATTTCGGACATGGCAGCAATTTAATCTTAATGCAAAAATCCGTTAATTTAATTTTCTGCAGTTCGCAACAGATAAAAAATTGCTCACTGAAACATTACTGTTTAGATTTTCATCAAATGTTATTTCATTTGTGTATTATCACTTTTAACATTTAACATTTTTAATACATATGTTTTCAATTCTCAAGTAAATATATTAAAGTTTTTGTAATGAACATCTATTTTGGTGGAATCCTCCGTTATTTGTTTTCGTTTACTTAAGGGACTATGTTTTTGTATTTCATTGCCACATAAGTGCTGTTTGTGTCGTGTGGAGACCTTAAAAAGTCGACGCGAATATTTTATATGTATATATATATATATATATTATATATATATATATATATATATATATATATATATATATATATATATATATATATATATATATATATATATATATATATATATATATATATATATATAGTTATATTGTCGATCCTTGAAGAGTGATCAGTACGACATTATATTAGATACCCGCCGTATGAACACATCCTCGGATATTTCTTAATTTTACCATTATCATGATGATGCTAGTGGTGGGGGCGAGGACGGTCACTTGCACTTTCCAGTACCGTCCATAAACAGACTCGTTCAAGCCGAACCTTCAAAATTTTAAATTTGGTTTTTTTTTTTGCCGATCTTAAAGGATTTCGGTTTTTTCTTTTTAGTATACCCGAAATGACAAGTATATATATTTTCTTAAAACCAATTTGATGTTTCTTCATTTTGAAATGAAAAGAAAATTACCTTTGTAATTAAACTCCTTGTATCAAATAAATTATTTCATTAATTTGATTTCGTATATTTTGATATGATTTTGTGATCGTTTTGCTAAATACCATATAGTTATACATTTTGTACTCGAATATTTACAGAACCACCAACGTTTCATTTTTTGGTGCCGGAAATTCTAAGAGATGGAGAAGCTGTCACGTGCACAGTAGAAGGTGGAAGACCTAATCCGAATGTATATGTCAGCATTTCAGGTTCAAATGTATCGTCTGCACATCATTTTTATAATCGGACAACATCTTTAAATACTAATATAATCACTTTGACCACATTCAAGAAGGAATGGAACAAAGAAAACATCACGTGCTGTCGATACAATAAATGGTACAAAATGATGCAAAAGTGTTCACAGCAACAACAAGTTAATTATCTGTGTACGGTTTGTTTGTTTGTTTGTTTGTTTGATTTTTTGTTTTTGATTTTGTTATTATTATTTTTTTGTATTTTTTTATATTCTATTTATTTATTTATTTTTTTTTTTTGATGTTTTTGTTTTTTGGGATTATATTTTTTGAACTTATGTTTGTGGATTGATTACGAATTGACTCTTACGCAATCAACTTTATAATGATATTATTAAATTTATCATAATCATTACATCTTTTGTATTGTAGAAAAGCTGTAGACAAATTGTTTCATTTACTTTTACATTTAATCTTCTAGTTCCTCCCTCTGGTGTAATGCTAGAAGTTAAAACTGTTGTCGATTCACCTAGCCAAATGTATGCAAACTGTACTGTTTATGGGTCGAACCCAGCATGCAACGCTCAGATAAAAGCGCCCAGTGGTATCATAGGATCAAAGAGGTCATCAACGAATATAAGTCAACCCCATGGTGCGTGGAATTCCGTGTCTGAAGTTAACTTGAATGTCAGTGAAGAAGACAATGGTAAAGATGTAACTTGTGTGGTTGATTGTGACGAGTTTTCTGTTGACCTTACAGACACTGTCAAAATTCTTCTGCCTCGTAAGTTTCTTGACAGAACTTTTATTTTCAATTACATTGTACTTAATATTAAAAGATGCACGCTTTTTATAACCTACTGCGAGAAATGCAACTACGAACTAAACTTGAAGTGATGGCTTATTCAACTTGTACACCAGTGTTATCTTTTAGACAACATTTAAAGAAACATTTCCAGACACTGAAATAAATATAAACCATTCTTTAATACTTCATTGTGTTTGATAATCATTCATGGTCATTTTATTTGATTTTCTATGTAATGGAATCTGCATTATCATAATGAAATCAAATTTCAGTCCCTCCAATTATAGAGTTCAGTTTATCTGGATCGACATTGAGTATTTCTGAAGGAGGGCGGGCACATGTTAAATGTGTAGCTGGCAGCGTTCCCGCCTCCAATATATCATGGATTGAAGAGTTAAGTAATGGAAACATAAGGAAGAAGCAATGTGACTTGTTACCAAACTGCATATTAAATATTGATACTGATGAAGTTTCAAACGGGCGTTTAACAAACTTGAAACGTATCCACCCTAATAAACGCTTGACAAAGCCGCCACGTCTCTGTTTATAAAAATGTAAAAACAAATATTAGTTTTATATTTTACAATAATATTATTGGACTTTAATCTATTTAGATCGTCCATTTTCGGACAGAATGATGTACAGTCTTGATACGCATTGATTCACAGTGAAAAACCCAATTTGTGAACATTATCATGTCATACCAGTTTTTTATACATGTGTAGTCATGATTTTCATTTAAACAATTCAAAAGTGTCATATGCCAATCATAAAGAAAACTTTATATTATTTAGATAAAGTTGATGAAGAAGATAAGTACAATAACAAACAGAGAACGACCGGCCAAGCGTCGGACAAATCAATAATTTGGATAATACTGGGTGCAGGTGTACTCTTGGTCGTCATCATTGTCATAGCGGTCGTGTTTGTTGTCTTCAGGAAAAAAGGTCAAACTCTTGAAGGTAAGATTAGATAAAGGTACGAAACGGACGACTTACAATGCAGCGTTTAGCTCAAAAGTTTATGACGAAAACTCATGGCTATTATAGGTGTTGATTATGAGTCCTGTTGTTAAAACTAAATTAATGTAATCGGTAGGAAACTTGGCCTTGCTCCCTGTAGATCTTTGATCTCCGAGTTTTGAGCTGAGAGATACACAACTGAACGCCTTGATAACTAAGCCATATTTCTGCAAATTTTATCCATGTATATACACATAATACAAAATGTTGTAATAGTATTAGAAAGTCAGTCATACATATGCTTACCTCCTTTAATGTTTTATTGGTTATGATATGTTATTCTGGTATTTCACCAATTTAACACGTTTAGTTCATATCCAGTCTTTCCTAGATAACTTACCTGTAATTACAAATTTCTTGACAAGCCAACAACTATAAATGCAACGTGATTTCTGAGCCAGCAGTGACAGAAATAAGAATAGTAGACTAAATTGTCAAGACGAAATTCAGCCTCTTCCGATGATCGAGCCCGCGACCCCTAGATTACAAGTCAGATGCTATCAAAATTCATGACATTTTATTCGTTTACACTTGTTTAATAAAAAAAATATTATGTTTTTATGTAATCAATATAACTTTTAAAGCTACATATTTTTATTTGTCTGATTACATTTATTGGGCATATTGTTACAAAACAGTGAACTATTTGATTATTAATAAGTTAAATTACTCCCATCTTCGCACTCCTTGAATTCTTTCTTTTCAACGAATGATCAGTTTTTGTCATGATATGATATACCAAAAACGTTATATATTTTAAAAGCAACGTTAAAGAAATTGGTATCTCGGCAAAATGTTTGTACATGCATTTTCACAGTATTAGTTATATTTGCATTGCTTTTTTCAAACATGGCAGATAAGAGAGAAGGTCGGGTACATCACCAAACACAGGAGGGCCATACAAGGTTAGGGTGTTGTACACGTTATAATTATCTGATGCGCGTTTACTGTAATGTATCGTAATTATCAACAATATCTGCAATATTATTGTAATTACTATGAAACATGTTCTTGTGCGAATAACGTATTGTAATAACTGAAACTGTTTTTCAATGATTTGTACAATACAGAGACACATTATTTACTTTTCTATTTTATATTGTTTGTACACAACAACCATTTTACTTTTTTACCAAGATGTACTTTACAAAAGTCGGAAGATTGTAATTGTAGTTCAGAGTTATGGGACTTAGATAATCACAGTGAACAATAGTGCGTGAAGTTTCAATCCATTCCCTTTTGTAGTTATAGAGATACTAGCTTTCACGCAAACTCTTTACCACATGGACGCCAACAAATGGGTGACTGCATTAGCTCAATTATTCTGTGAATAGTCGAGCTAAAAATGCTATGCCACCGCATTAATACGACACTAAATAGTGGTCAAGGTCACAATTCACATAGCCTAAATTTCATGACTGGCACTGAACATCTTTACCACAATATTTGTCCTTAAATTACAAATCAATACCTTCTTCTTTTTAATCCATATAACTGTCTCCATCCAACGTCACACATGTTCTTTCCACAAACAGCAAACTGGTAAGAAACACTGTTTCTCAGCTGAGCATAAATGAAATATCTCTGCTTTTCTACATCCAATGACCAGTAAAATTCTCTCTCCTTTAAAATCCCATCTACTGAGTAGTTACTACAACAGTCATTTTCACAATAGGCCTTCATATAAACCTCATTTATTGATTCAAGTCTTGTATGCTCATAATGCCTCTTTTAACTAAATAAAAAAAGAAATCCATTTATAGGAATGAAACATGTTAAACACTGTTACCTCCAGGTTCATTTTTCCCGTGTATTACATTTTAGGGGTCACATGAAATTTAAGTGACATGTCTAACCCTTTATCTTAACCAAGAATTAATGAGAGCCACCGCTGAGGGCGGGAAACGCTCAACTTTCTTACTTTTTCTACAGCAAACAATAGGTAAAAAAAATAAAAAATGTGATTTGTCACAATCTTTCTTTCATAAATTGTTGGACAATAATAATTGAAAGGGTTGTGCAAACTAGTTTGTTTAGAAAATGGAATAAATTGATTCTACTCAATTATTGTGATATCACTAATGATCATATTGCTGATAATTTATGTTTTGTATATATTAATTTAAAGTGAACTTGAAATGTGTCATTTATTTTACATATTAAAGCCTCGGGATTAATGCTTATTTTCATGAAAAACTTGAAAATGTAATTAAAAGTGTAACATTGTAAAGTAATCAAAAGGAAGCAATTTAAACATTATCAATAACTGTTACATCCCACTTTTATTGCAAAAAGAGGTAAATGTATGTAAATGTATGCAAAAATCGCCCTTACTGGGTTAGTTACGCAATAAAAATATAGTTAGACACAATCAGTCAATGAATTTAAGATTTTGAATTTACTGGCCCGAATTCCAGTTTTAAATTTTTTCTACTATATATTTATCTAAATTTTTCTTAAATTTACACTGGCGGGAACTAATTTACACGGACCATGGGCCACCGGACCAATGCTTAATTCGATGACTACACAATGAAAAATTTATCAATAATTGTTTATAACATGTAAATTTTTACTTGCCTCTTGCATCTTTATACTTTTCATAAAATCTTAGAACATTTTTTTGAATTTATTGAATTATTTTCTTATCTGGAAGCATGCTGCTTTAAACAGTTGTAACAAATAAAGTCTTTGTCTCCTTGCACAATAAATGGCTCCAACCTGCACTCCAGGTCAATGAAAAAGCTTACATACCAAATTTGGAGTCAATCAAACTTATAGTGACCAAGTTATGCTCTGGACAAGACTATTATATAACTGGAACTATTGCTAAGTGCGTAATGAGATCTATCATCCGATGAAGTTTCAAGTCGATAGCTTTTATAGTTTATGAAAAAAAAGTATGAAAATTAACAAAGGGCAATAACTCAAAAATTAAAAAGTGCAGAGTAATGATTCTTGTGTACTGCACTTTGAGTTATTCATTATTTAAAGAGGCATGAATACCAAGTTTGGCGCCAATCATACTTACAGTGACTGAGTTATGCTCCGGACAAGCCTTCAGGGACGCCGCTGATACAGACGCCAACACCGCCAGCAAAGGTAATCCCTATATGTCGCCTTTTCAAGGCCACATAACTAGAACTGTCATCAATAGAGACAATATCGATATATCATTGATGTTTTTCTGTATCGTCAATATACAAGAATAAAGAAAATCACCTTTTAATACTGGTCTTTGTTGATCATCTAGACTATTTAAAAGTGGCCTGCAGGAATCCATCCCTGTCAAAAAAAAAGAAATATTATTTAATTTTACCCATGAAATATGATGCTATATCAGTCAAATATATGTCATATTTTTTAAAATCTCCTAAATTTGTCATGTGGCGTTTTCCCAAAAATAGAGAAAAAAGGCCTGAATACAAAACAACTTTTTGTTGAATTTTGTTTTGAAAACTATCTAGAATGATAGAAAATGGTCTAACTAAGAAAATAAATCATAACACCAATATCTTTAATTAAGTCATTAACGCTGTACAGACGTTTAAAGTGTTGTTTACGTGACGTCACAATGTAGCGCTAAATATTGCATGTATAATAATTATATTACTGCGAGCTGTACAATTGCAGTTGCGTAACAAGCAAGGGGGTTGGTAACCATTTTTCTTTGATGATGAAATTAAATATGAGGGTTGTTTTTTCGGCTCGTGAAAATGTGGCATTTTATCATGTTTCGTGAAAATCATATTCAATATTTCACTCAAATGAAAAATATCCTCTTAGTATTTGAATAAAAAACCATTCACTCTGAATTGAATAAAGTTAGACCTAACATAAATGTTGTTATTTGTTTTTGCTCCCGCTACGTATCCATAGCTTCCCAAAAAAAATGTTATTGCCAGCCTATTGAAAATATACCGTGAGGTTAGGTAATTTTTAAATTAAATAAACTTCTTGCCTTGCTAAGAAAATGATAAAGGTAATTCAAGTATTACTACACCATGGATAATTATCATAATTATTATTCCATTTTCACTTTCATTTATTGAGGTCAATATCACATGAGTACATGAATAATTTAAGAAAGCGTAACACGAAAGGTGAAATTTACATAAATACCTATTGTCATGCCTTAATACTTCACAAATTGTTAGCAAAATACCTGTTTTAACTAAGAACACCAATAATTGTATTCATCTTCACTTCTTTGTTATGAAATATGAGTTTATGTTATAAAATTTCTTTAATTTTTTGTGCATGGTTGCCATTTTGTCATACCTCCGGTTTAGTTCTATTCATAATCTCAAATCGGTCACATTGATATAGATGTTTTCTGAGGCAATGTTGAGTAATAGATTAATTGTTATGTAATATTTATTGATTTGAAATGTGTGTTTGTTCTAATTATAAAACATTTTGACATATTTATTTTCTATTGTAATTTCGAACCATCTAATTTGCATACCAAAATAGTCTGGTACTCATTTGCATACGCAAAGCTAAAACCAGCGTTGGTATTCCAAACAAGAGGGCCATGATGGCGCTGAATCGCTCCCCTGACCCATCAACCGCATCCAAGCAATGTCTTAGACAAGCATCCTGGACAAATTTGATAACAATTGAGTCAAAAATGTGACCTCTATTGTGTTAAAAAGGTTTTCCTTATTTGGGCAATGTGACCTAATTTTTGACTGGAGACGACCCATATTCAAACGCGACCTAGAAATCATCAAAACAACCTTCCTGACAAATTTCGATGATATTTGGACCACAACTGCAGCCACTAGAGTGTTAAAAAGATTTTTCTATTTTTAGCTTCTTTGACCTAGTTTTTGACCGGAGATGATCCATCTTCAATCTTGACTTAGGAATCATCAAAACAACCTTCCTGACCAATTTCCAGAAAATTTGAATCAAAACTGCAGCCACTAGAGTGTTAACAAGCTTTTTCTATTTGAAGCACCTGTGACCTAGTTTTTGACCGGAGATAATCCATCTTCGAACTTGACCTAGAAATCATCAAAACAACCTTTATGACAAATTTCCAGAATATTTCTATCAAAACTGCAGCCACTAGAGTGTTAACAAGCTTTTTCTATTTTTAGCTCCTGTGACCTAGGTTTTGACCGGATATGACCCATCTTCGAACCTGACCTAGAAATCATCAAAACAACCTTCCTGACAAATTTCAAGAATATTTGAACAAAAACTGCAGCCACTAGAGTGTTAACAAACTTTTTCTATTTTTAGCTCCTGTGACCTAGTTTTTGACCGGAGATGACCCATCTTCCAACCTGACCTAGAAATCATCAAAACAACCTTCCTGAGAAATTTCCAGAATATCTTGATAAAAACTGCAGCCACTAGAGTGTTAACAAGCTATTTCTATTTTTGTCTCCTGTGACCTAGTTTTTGACCGGAGATGACCTATCTTTGAACTTGACCTAGAAATAATCAAAACAACCTTCCTGACAAATTTCAAGAATATCTGGATCAAAACTGCAGCCACTGGTGTGTTAAAAAGCTTTTTCTATTTTTAGCTCATGTGACCTAGTTTTTGACCGGAGATGACCCATCTTCAATCTTGACCTAAAAATCAAAACAACCTTCCTTACAAATTTCTAGAATATTTGGATCAAAACTGCAGCCACTAGAGTGTTAACAAGCTTTTTTTCTATTTTTAGCTCCTGTAACCTAGCTTTTGACTCGAGATAACCCATCTTCAAACTCGATCTGTATTTCATTGAGACAAACATTCTGACAAAGTTTGACAATGATCCAATCAAAACTGTGACTGATAGACTGTTGACAACCCAATTGTTGACGACGAACGACGTACGACGCACGACGACGGACGCCGGACATAGCCCCATCACTATACCTCACCTTGACCACTTCATGGTCAGGTGAGCTAAAAATCACTTTGCCTCTGTCCTTATTGCAGTATAGACATACAAATTATGTATCATCCAAATCTTTTATAGATTTCAATAAAAGTTGCATTCATTGTTAAATTTCAGCTTGAAAAGGTATTTCGAATTTTTTTTATCTTAACCTTGTTACCGGAAGTTCAGTATCGGTAACTGTTACCTTTTGTTTACAAACTGTCATTTTTCGATCAAATTTCTCGAACTGACCTTGATGAAATTTCACATTTATTTATGCTGAAATAATTTCAGTATTTATTGATTCATACATTTGGTCTGACTACCAGGCATAGTTATTGTTAAGGCCCATTACAAAAATAAATCACAATTTAAACCGAAAGGAATGGCTTTGTCCTGAATTTTAGTTTTTTTTTCATGTGTATATTTAGTGGTCGCTAGGAGGACATTTACAGAATTATTAATGAAAAAGTAAAAAACGGAGAAAAGAAAATTTTGCCTGTGTCTCCCTTAAAAAGAAGATATTTTAAAGCAGCTGACCTCCAGAAGATCGCAGAAAAACTGCCGTCTTGCTAATATTTCAAAATTCACCCTCAAAAACATTATATAGTTGAAAGGAATCGAAATGACACTTCAAAATGTTCATATTTTAACATTATTGCTCTGAAAACAAACAAGTTTTAAGTGACACAATATAAATTGCCCAACTTTAACTATATAAAAAAAGTCACTTGTTTAACATAGTGATAAAAAATTTTCCAAGCAAGTCCATTTTTTTTTGTAAAGTATTGGCTACAGAGTTTAACCTCAGTCTTAGGAGTATTTATATGATGTACCACTAAATATTCATCAGATTTTACATAGGGGTCCTTATTAATAAAATCTTAAATTGTAATGAAGACTTTTCAAGTGATGATTGTAATATAAATCTTTTGTATGCGATAACATCTGGCAGATCTAGACAAGTTTCCATATTTGGTAATATTATAAAGTGGGGAAGGTAAAATGGCTGTAATGATTGGATGCATTTAACATTTTGCACCCCAAATAGCGTAAGTCAAATTATGCAGTGTAGTACAGCAACTATGTACATCCATTTATTATGTTATAAACATCTATGTCTGTTGTTTGTTAACTTTTTGTGTCAGAATGCATACATATATTCATCCTTGTTAGAAATGTTAAGTATACATCAAGAAAAAGAATACACTAACCAAACATGATGATTTATATAGAAGTATGGAATATCTAGTATTTTAAAGATTTAACTTTATCTTACTGACTCATCTGAACATTTTTAACTAAAGCAATTTTACCAGAGAATAAGAGATTCCAATCCCTTAGGTTAAATATTTCAGTATTTTCAGCATCTGGTACGGAATATGATTGTTAACAGTGAACCTTAATTTTGGCTCACCTGTCACAAAGTGACACGGTGAGCCTTTGTGATTGCTTTTCTGGAGAATTGTTTTATTCAGATGAGCGATTGGAGGGTCATCATGGCCTCTTGAAATCATAATTGCTAAGTAAATTTTAGGAGTAACTCCCTAAAAGTAAACTTTTCTTGTATATTTGGGTTTCAATTATTATTCAAAAGTTCTATTTATGTACATTGTAAGAGTAAACAGAACAAAAAATGTTTGAATTAGTAATTTTATTTTTCCCATTTTTAGCTCGACTATACGAAGTATATGGAGAGCTGTCCTACTCGCCTCGGCGTCGGCGACCGCGTCCAGATTTCAGATTAAAGTTTTGGTGTAGTAAAATATTTTTCACTATAACTTTGTCATTTCTTAAGGTATCAACTTCAAACTTCAAATATATGTTCCTTATCATCAACCACATCTTATGTGTCAAGGTTCATAACACTAGCACCAATAGTTTCAGATTTATCTCCCTTGAACTTAGAATTATCCTTAAAAATACTATTTTTTATTATTACCCCTCACTTTTTTCGTAATGCTAATTTCCCATAGGCCTCTGGGAGTTATTTTTACTGTTAATGCAAGTGTACCACGTGACTAAGAATTTTGTACTGTTATATAGGTAACAGTATTTTTTAAGAGGTCACGTGGTCTATTTCCTAAATAAAATAAAATAAAATGGCCGCCATTTTTTCTCGATTCATTCTTATTTTCAAGGGTAAACCCCGATAGGACATCAATTTCTCCTCTGGAGTCCCTATGACACTCATAAAATTTAGATGTTTGCACCCTGGTGTGCTCTTCGCGTATAAAATATCTTTTTGCTGAATAACCAAAAAGTGAACATCCGTTTTCAACGGAAGTAAATGCAATGTAAATAATTATGTGTCAAATTGGAACATGCAGACGATTTAAGCATGCAACAAAGGATTATTTATCAAATTTAATCAGTGAAACGTTACAGATATGGTGGACATAGGATATCATCGTTATTTTGTCAAAAACCATGCTAAGAATATTCTGGAAACAGAAGGATCAGATTTCACAGATCATAACCGTTTAAATGGGTTAGTGTATTGTTTCCTAAATAAAACCTAGCTTATTGTACGTTTATGATTTGTAGATATCATCACTTGCTTAAAGAATAAAACAAAAGGAAAACTTCTCAAGTAGGCCTGCAGTAAAGTACACTTAAAACTTAAAATGTAAGGACAGTTTAGTTATTGTTACTCTTGGTTTATTTTTGTTACAGTTAGAATTAGTTGACAAAAGTTCACATCATCTCAGTATTTTGTTCGGGGTAATAAAATAAATAACACATGGGTTTGTGAGTAACAGTAAAAATATCAACCCTCGTCAAAATACTGTTACCCTCGGCTACGCCTCGGGTAACAGTATTTTCCTCGGGATGATATTTTTACTGTTACCCATAAACCCATGTGTTATTTATATACTGTTACTTCTTTATTTATTAAGGGATCAACCTCATACTTCAAATATATGTACCTTAAAATGTTAATTTTCATTAAAGAAACCTATGCTCATTAGATCTTGATTAAGTTTCAACAACTTAATTGCATATTATACTTTAATAAACACATTTTGAAACTGCTTCCTTAATAATATTATTCATAAAATAAAAATGTTGCTTACAATAATTTTCACCATTAGAGAAAATAGTATAAATAAAACTAAAATTCCTGTGTAGAAAAAAAAATGAAAATAAATATATGATATTTTTTTAGGGGAGTTGGGGAGGAAAATGATGAAAAACGGTTCGATTGAGAACTGTCAGACGGAGGAACTGGTTAGGGTGAGAATAGCCTGTCATTCATCCAAGACATGTGTGTTTCTTTTTCTTTCTGAAAGATAAGAAGTTTTTTTCTGAAATTTGAAACAGTAAATTCATGTAAAAATAGAAATTAGAAAGTGGTAAATGATGATTTATCTTTATATTGCTTTAATCTAGCCCCAATAAACACATTTAGATATAATGTAAGACTGTTATTAATTTGCTTTAGTAAATTGTTGATGCATTTTTATTACAGTACAGTACTATATTGTATAGAAGTTCATTCCTTTTACTGATCTAAGATTTAAAATGCTTTATGGCACTCACCAAACAATGGTTAAGGCTTACAAATCAATATTTTCTCATCAAATAAATCATGGAAATTCCATTATGTCAAAAATAGTGAAACTGTCAGTAATGAGACCTAATATGTGGTACCAAGCTTACCAATTATTTTACATGAAGGGAAGTATTTCATGTAAATAAAAATACCCATTATAATTATAATGATACAATGTTATCATATCTGTCATGCTTTTCATTTAAATCGGTGAAGACACTGTATCCATTAAAGATAAAAAATGTTATTCAGGAAATACACTAGTCCTATTGCCTGTTACCATTATCCCAATGCATTCACATGCAATGAAGAGCTTATATGCACAACATTTTGCAGAAAATAATTAATTTGATATGGCAATATTGATATAAAAGTGTTTCATCTTATTTTCCACTAATCTATACATAGGTGGTATTACTGAAACAACCTTTTACAGGCCTCGTACGGCAGTTTTTTTTATTCTAACAAGAAAAAGAATAAAAACAGGTATTGTACTAACATCGATTGTTTGTCGTTTATAGAACATTATCCATGAAATATGATTAATTAGCAAATATTAAAATAGATTTGATTGTTATCGATAACACATAAAACCTTTTTGATAATTGCATTATTTAAATGTTTTAAGAGAAGTGCTTAAGCTTTTATTTAAGGACTAGTTTTTTGTTTGTTTGTTGCTTTTCTTTGCAATAAGTCAGTATTGAAACAATTACATTTTGACAGAAGAAAATATGTCGTGATGTCTATAAATTATGTAGCTATACCGGTTGATTTGTTTTACAATTATGATTACTTTTTTCAAAAATGATGTGAATCATAATTATAACAACAAACAGCTTAAATTTGTAATTATGTTATTTAAAAGCAAATGACTGATAACAACATAATATGTTATTCTATAAACTTTTTACCATTTTAAATGGTTACAATTCTTCTTTTATCAAACAGATCTTATTAAGGTTGGTCTGTAATATACAGGTATATTATGAATGATATATTTTGCATGCGTATGTATTTTAAACGTTCATAAGTTTATTTAGCTTTAGACGCAGTAACAGCTTATATATATGTTTATGTGCTTTACTATGCTATTTTAACACAGGGTCGAAAACTCAACCGACAGTTTCTCATGAAATAGAATTAACTGGACCACCAACTGCTCTGTAAGTTACGAATTTTTTTATTCTTTTTTTTGATATAACATTAAAAGTGTATTTTGTTTTTTCCAACGACGTTGCCAACATACTTTCAAAATTCAGATACATAGCATGATTTATATATTAAGCAATCGAAAATTACGATATTATAATATGTCATACAAATATGAAATATCAGTTCAAAAATAAAAATATGGAAACTAGGGAGAGGCCTTGTTGCTGCTTATCATCCATCAATCTCATTCGTTCTTTGACGACAACGCTTAAATTGCTAACTTTTACATTGAATTTTGAATCGTATTTTAAAAATCATTTCTACTAGGGATACCTACGAGCAACTTCAAAACAGAACAGATACTGAAATCAGGGGAACTTATGATTCTCTTGACGGTATGTTGAATTTCAATTATTTATTTCATGTCGTTCGGTTTGGAATAATAATATTACAACTGAATATGTTTAATATACATCGTGTAGTATTGTAAAACACATATATTCGATCATAACATTTTTAACTGAAGTATTTTGATAGTTTCTGATATAAAGCTGACATGTACTCGTTTATGGTGTATAGATAGTATAATTGCTATTAAAACGAAAACAATGGTTTCGACACAAAAATAACTACCTGTCGTTTCTTTTTCAAAATTATGTTTCAGTCAACTACAGAGTACAACAAAACAGGTATGGAAATCATAAATATTTAAGTATTTAGTTATTTCTTAGATAGCTTTAACATAAAATATCCATTAATATTAAGATTGATAAAACTGATATTTTAATACAATGCTCTACATAAACTAAATTAGATAGCTTCTTTCGAGGAATTGTCTTTAGAGTACATATTGTTGACCAAAGACTGTAAACTGAATGTTCGACATAATCAGGATAAAAAGTGTTGTTAGATCTACATTTTTCAGTGTTAATTGTTTGTAACTTTTTCTTTATGTTTTTAATTGTTCATTGTTACATGTTCATTCATATGTCTGTTTTCAGCGAATCACAGTATGAAAGTCTGAATCAGGAATCAGAGAAATATCACACATATACAGATCTAAAACAAAGCCGATAAATCTGAAGAACCTACTTGAGAGATTCGCCTTGAACGTTCGTGTCTGTTCGGGAAACTTTATAGAAGGATTGTTTGTAAAATTTGTATTTCTGTTATTTTAATAAAGAAAATTAATGAAAGATATCGTTAAACAAATAGTCTCACTGTACATAAAGATATTATTGTGTAATATATGAAAAGGACTATGTATTCTGTTATATAAACACCTGGAAATAAGTTAAGCACACCCGGCATTTTGCCTCGATTTTGACATGACCACAACTGAAATCTTTAATTTTATTTGGGCACTGGTATGAACCACCTATAGTCAACCTGCAACAGCTGGAACAAGCTCTGCACCAAGAGTGGCAACAATTCCCTCAAAATCGCATTAGACGCCTTACTATTATGAGAGGAAGGGTTGAGGCTATCATCTGGGCACGTGACGGCTACACACACTACTAAATAATCGGCTACAAAATGTTATTTACAAAACATATCTACCAGTACATGTTTTGCAAACTCTTCAACTTATAAACACTTACACTTTTTGTAAAAAACACTACATTTGCTTAAGCTTCAATTATTTGGTGAACTTAGAAAAAACTAAACTTTAAAAGTTTACTTGTTTTTGATTACTTAATTGATATCGCTACTTATTAAATCAACATTTCTTAGCCTAATTAAGTCGTCATCTCATGACAGTGCTTTCAGTAAAAAATATTTTAATTTCCTTGGTGTGCTTAACTTATTTTAAGGTGTATGTATAACGGGTCTTTTGGTAAAATACTGTTTTAAGGACTAGTTTTTTCGGGCATTTATTTTGCTACTTGAATTATTCAACATTTTTAATTGAATTTTTATACATCTTATTCCTCACACTTGTAAATCTTAAATATGTGTAATATCAAAAGTAAATTGATTGGCCAATATCCATTTCAGATAGATGATTACAAATCAAGCTAATATTACTAGTATCCTTTGTTAATTTTGCTTAAGCGTGTACGTTTTTTTTATTCTAGTGATATTTTGTTATAATTGTTATCTTACATTTTCTGTAAATAAGACATGACAGATTTGTATTCACGTATTATCTGTATATATATATCACAATGAATATATTGTTGTTCGTTCGCCTATTTATTCATCCGTATGAAACTTCTATAAGAATTCTTGGTTAGATATGAATTTAACTGTGCTTAAATTTTTATGTGAAAAAGGACAGAAGACTCATCAAATATCATACTTGTTAAATCGATGGAGTTATGAGTTAGTTATACGTTCAATATTGTATTATTATGTAATATTTCCTTGTAATACTTGTATATATATATTGATGTCACGGGGTGAGAAAAATGAGCAGCCCGACCGGGACTCGAACCCGGGACCTTTGGATTACCGTTCTGCGGCTCTACCGACTGAGCTATCCGGCCGCTTACACATTTCTCCCCTAAAAAGTAAACAGGTCTGAACCTTGACATACTTCACCACAATATTGAAATTCGTCTTCGGATTTCACAAAGCTACAGAGCAATGCTAATTGAACTCTGAGCTAGATGCAGTCACGGTCCCCCGGTTGGCGCCAAATGCCACAGCTTGAGAAAAATGTGCAACCTGACCGGGACTCGAACCCGGGACGTTCGGAATACCGTTCCGCGGCTCTACCGACTGAGTTTTCCGGCCGCATTTTCTCCCCTAAATAGTGAACAGTTCTGAACCGTGACATTATCATGTAAGTTAATTTGAACATGTGCTGCAGGTAACCGTTATTGTTCGAATTAAATCTAGTTTGTATGCCAGATATTGAGTTATAAGTCTTTCTAATAATTATTATTAAGTAAGTAAGAAAGAATGCCAGAAACAAGCAAAATCTAATATTGCTTTGTTGGATTTTAATTATAGTAGTAAATCAGGATGAATGTTAAAGGGCATCATAATCTACTAGTTTGTTTTCGGGTTCCTTGCCCTTAAGAAATTCAGAATAAACCGTTTGGAATGTTTTTGCCCAAAGTTATTTTTATAAGACAATATCAAAGTAATTTCTGTTTCTTTAACAAATTCATAAATTTTAATTCAATTTAGTCAATCCTGCATGGGATAACGAGCTGCTCCATACAATTAAACAGCCACTTTTGTATGTTTTGTATTATTTTTTGTTGTATTAAGAATTACTTTAAGTGAATTGGTTTATAAAGGAAGGTTGGTTTGTGAATGGGTAATTGGTATCATACATGACAACAAACCATAAAAAATATACATTTATATATGAGTGTTGTTGGTAAGTGTGAGACACACGATCCAATATTACATAGCTTTAAATACAATGTAGCAGTTGATGAATTGATTTAGATTAAATATTATACATATCATATAAATGTTCATATCAAACCATTTAGATTATCAACATGTTTTATGTAGAAATATTTCATATTATTTTCTAAATAATACATTGCTACTGATTTTATCAATATATTTGAAATAATTATAAACATATGTGTCACTTGTAGACCACTTAATTTTAGAAATACTACTGATTTATTAGTTTCTTACGGTCCTTTTAGCATACATATTTTATATATAGGTGCATAAAAGGTTCTTATGAAGAAAATGATCTATTATTGGAAATACAATAGACGTATAGACAATGAAATTATGATTTTTTATTTCAAAATATGATCTTATGTCGTTTGCCTAACAAGCTTGTACATCTGAACAGTGTCTGACTTGCCTAGAGTCAAGCAAGCTTGTACATCCGGACAGTCTGACTTGCCTAGGGCCTAGTTAGCATGTATATCCGGACAGTGTCTGCCTTGCCTAGAGCCTAACAAGCTTGTACATCCGGACAATGTCTGACTTGCCAAGAGCCAGACAAGCTTGTATATCCGGGCATTCTGACTTGCCTAGATCCAAGCAAGTCTGTACGTCCGGACAGTCTGACATGTCTAGACTCTGGCAAGCTTGTACATTGGGCAGCTGGAGTTGCCTATGGCCTGACAAGCTTGTACATCCGGAGAGTGGCTGACTTGCCTAGAGCCTGGCAAGCTTTTACATCCGGACAGTGTCTGCCTTGCCTAGAGCCTGACAAGTTTTTACATCCAGACAATGTCTGACTTGCCTAGAGCCTGACAAGCTTGTTTATCCGGGCATTCTGACTTGTCTAGATCCAAGCAAGCTTGTACGTCCAGACAGTCTGACATGTCTCGACCCTGGCAAGCATGTACATAGGGCAGTTTGACTTGCCAAGGGCCTGGTAAGCTTGTACACCCGGACAGTGTCTGACATGTCTAGGGCCTGGCAAGCTTGTACATCCGGTAAGTCTGACTTGACAAGACCATGACAAGCTTGTTCATCCAACAGTTCCTGAATTGCCTAGAACCACGCACGCTTATACATCTTATTTGCCTAGGGCCTGGCGAGCTTGTACATCCAGGGAGTCTGACATGATAAGAGCCTGGAAAGTTTGTGCATCTTGACATTCTGACTCAAGCTTTTTCATCCGGGCATTCTGACTTGCCTAGAGCTTGCCAAGCTTGTACATTCGGGCAATGTGACTTGCATAGATCCTGGCAAGCTTATACATCCGGGCTCTCTGACTTGCCTACAACCTGGCAAGCAAGTACATCCGGGCGATTTGACTTGCATAGCCAGGCAAGCTTGTATAATCGAACAGCCTGACTTGCTAAGAGCCAAGCAAGTTTGTACATCCAGGTCTTTTAACTTGCCTAGAGCCATGAAAGCTTGTAAATCCGGGCCGTCTGACTCGAATAGAGCCAAGCCAGCTGATACATCCGGGCAGTCTGTCATGTCTAGAACCAGGCAAGCTTGTACATCCGGGCATTCTGACTTGCTAAGAGGCAGTTAAGCTTGAAAATCCGGACGGACTGACTTGCCTAGGGCCAGAGAAGCTTATACATCCGGGCAGTCTAAAATGCCTAGAGCCAGACAAGCTGATACATCCGGGCAGTCTGAAATGCCTAGAGCCAGGAAAGCTTTTACACCCGGGCAGTCTGACTTGCATAGAGCCAGGCAATCTTGTACATCCGGGCAGTCTGACTTGCATATAGCCAAGCAAGCTTGTACATCATGGCAGTCTCACTTGCCTAGGGCCAAGCAGACTTTATCATCCGAGCCTGACAAGTTTGTACATCCGGACATTCTTAGTGACTTGATTAGAGCCAAGCAAGCTTGTTCATCCAGGCATTCTGACTTGCCCAGAGCCATGCAAGCTGGTACATCCGGTCAGTGTGACATGTCTGGTGCCAAGCAAGCTTGTATATACGTACAGTCTTACTTGCTTAGGGCCTGGCAAGCTTGTATATGCAGACAGTCTGACTTGCCTAGAGCCTGGCGAGCTTGTACATCCTGGCAGTCTCACTTGCTTAGAGCCTGACAAGCTTGTACCTCCGAGCAGGTTGACTTGCCTATAGACTGGCAAGCTTGTATATCCGGGCAGTCTGGCTTGCCTACAGCCAAGCAATCTTGTACATCCAGACAGTCTGACTTGCCAAGGGCCTGGAAAGCTAGTTCATCCGGGCATTCTGACTGGCTTTGAGCCTGGCAAGCTTTTACATCAGGCAGCCTGACTTGCCTACAGCCAAGCAACCTAAATATTCTTCATTCTGACTCGCCTTGATCCAAGCAAGCTTGTACATTCGGACAGTCTGGCTTGCCTTGAGCCTGGCAAGCTTGTACATCCGGGCAGCCTAGCGCTATAAGTCGATAGCTAATATATTATATTCTGGCAAAGAAATCCTTTTAATATTGAATGAACCGTCCCAAATTTTAAGGCAGGGTAATTTTATATATCATGATAGCTTGTATGTGACTATATTGAGAATTAATTTTCAAAATATAGATTCTTCTTCTTCTCAATATTATATAATCTGACATAGACATCCTTTAAGATTAAATAAGCTGTCCCATTTTTTTAGGAAAATGGTTTACCATGACAAAATATGAATATTAGCATGTTTTATATATATTAAGCATTACTAATTAAATTGCTACCGTTCTCTGTAACAGGGAATCAACAAGACAGTTCTACTTGTTTCGTTATTGAATATTTATGTGAAAAAATTTGATTGCTCACAGTTTGTATTTTTAACTCTTTCAAAACTTTTTACTTGATTTTTTATATTATGTCATTGTGTATTTTTCTTATTTACATGTAAAATATGTTTTAACAGAGACTTTTATAACAGAAGGATAAGAAGCTCTAAAAATATGAAATTTTCAAATTTTTACCACAATCCTTTTTAATTTCCGCTATCTTGTTTTATAGAACATAATTTGTTATCATTTCATCCAATACAAAGAACAATTTACATCTTCTTAATCTTTATTACTTTTTAATTCCTTTTTGAAACTTCTTTTTTATTACCATAAGAATTTTTAGATTACATGTATACATAAATAAGTATCGATAAAATCTCTCGTGTCAAACCGGGTCTCGGAAAATCTCGCAAAAATGTGAATTTGCGTGATTATGAATTCTTGACAATGAATTACATTATTTACGCTCAATCATAAGAATCTTTTTCTGAAAAGTATACCTTATTATAATTATAGGTTTTTACCTTATTTCAGTATTGAAGTTTGGAACAAATAACTTATTGCTTATTATCTTAATTATTTTGAAATTATCTTTGATTACCATGATTAAAATATGAGTGTCAGTCGGATGAATGAAAGAAAATATCTAACCTTTACATTTAGGAATTTATTACTTTTTTGTTTGTACAAAATGATTTTAAATTTTCTATTGATCTACATTTTATTCTTTGTCATTGTTAAATCAGGAGGTCATACTGAAAATAAATATACTTTTTACTTTGTAAACTTTGTATGCTATTCTATAAATAAAGATTTTATTATTATTATTATTATTATTATTTTATTGTTATTATTATTATTATTATCATTATTATTAATTATTATGATAAGGTTTTTAAGTGTATGGCGTCATAGCTTCCTCTACATTTTAATATACATGTATATGAGAATTATGTGATGCTACAATAATGGTTTGTTACTTCCTTTAATGTAAAAAATAATTTCTTTGAATTTTTACGTTGTCATCAATGTATCTACTAGATCGGTGATATTAACACATAGTCATAAATGTAACTTAAGCAAAAATATTGCCATAAATGCTTAACAAAAACGAATCAATCTTCCGTAATCTTATTTTCATTGGCTTTAGGGTGAAAACAAGGTGTGGATCGTTCGAAACGATGAAAGTTTCAAAATAGTCCTTTAAGTTCGTACTTCAAAGTACAGCACTATTTTGTATTCCCTGGTAATAATTACTAGATTCCTTACCTTGGCACAAGTGTTTTACAAAAACTTGCTGATTACTATGCTAAAGTCAATCCACGTATCTGCGTACGTGGAATTAAGTTCCTACATGGCAGCAAACCTATCGATAAACAGTTGTGGTTCTTTCTTATCTTCGGAACAGTACAATTAAAACATAACATGAACTTCATCCCTCATACAACTCTGATTAAGCTCCATGTATTTAGTGACGCAATCAAAACATTACAAAATAAATGAGAGGTCGCCGCTTTGAATCTTGTAACCCCGTCGGCAGCGTACCTTAAAATAAAACATAAAGGTAATCGCTTCGAGTCCTGCATCGCTGTCCGTAGCTCATTTTTCCAGTGTTTAAACACTAAACGTAAAGAAGCCTTCGCAATACTTATTAGATACATGAATAGATCTTTACATGACCCTAATCTGTCTGATTTTATTTATCAGATTATTGGATTACAAAATAAATATCCCCACTGTGTGACAATGACTCTATTAACAAAAGAAAATATGACAATGTTCACAGTCAAATCTATTACTATTCAAATAAAAGATCAAGTATAGATCTCTCAATTGTTTTTATCAAGAACCTGGCAAATGTAGGGTTTTCCATGCCATTCCAACGGTAGAAAATAAAAGTAAGCCGGTGCTAGGGGGCGTGGACGGTAACTTGCACTTTCCAGTACCGTCCATGAACAGGCTCAATCAAACCGAGCCTGCAACATTTTCAATTTTGCCGTGTTGGGCTTTCTTTAGGGATTCTGTATTTATCTATTTTACTGTTATAGCTTCACGTGGCAATAGTAGTACAATTTACAAAATATAAGTCAACCCGTGATGCGTATTGTCGAAGCTGTAACTATAATAAAAGTTTGTTTGTCCCAAAGATTTAGCCGGGGTGGAAAACCCAATATATCTTTATTTCCAAAGTATATTATGACAGGATCTGGACAAAATTTTATGTTTCTAAATATTTCATTTCTAATCTAATTGTGTGTCATTTTCCTGTACGTGCAGTAACTGTTGATTATTGAAGATTTGAAGATTATTTTAGTGACAGGTCCTGTTGTAATTATTGTAATCAAGTTTTAAAGGGAAGTGAAAATACATTTGTATCGTTCATCATGACTAATTTCTTGTGGATATATTTTTACCATTTCAATTGACTTCTCTATCGACATTGGCCATTAATATTGACAGTCGCAATCTTGTCAGAAAGTCAGGAGTGTTAATTTTGCAGAATTTTGGCCTAATAAAAAAATATTGTGTGTTGTATATATTTATTTTTTAAATTTATTACCTCATATTTCCCTTGCGAGCATTTTTTTCTTAATGTTATGCTTTCTGTATTATTGTTTAGACTAAACAATATTTTTGCTCCGTTTCATGACATTCTTTGTTATTATATTTAACTAAATAATTAGGGAAATCCTTCATAACTAACTCGGAAAGAAATTCTTGAAAAGTAGTCTGTAGTAGTAAAGTGGTAGAAATGTATTTTTGAGAATATTTCTTTATTAACTTTAAGCATAACTTTCTGTTTTAAGTGCTTCAGCTGACCTAGGTAAGAACTTCAAACTTTATGTTTTCAAGTTTTTTGGACCTCAGAGCAGTTGAGTTCCTCTAATAATTATTAGCTCCTTAACTAGAAGCTGATCAGGTTATTTCAGAAGTTCGGAAGGTTATTTTCTTGAGGGTAAAAGCTTTAAAATTATTATCCCTATGAAAACTGACGCACTGACAAACAGTATGAAATTTAGTGGCTTAAATGATTGCTAGTCATGTGGGTTCAAACCATGTCAACTGCAAGCTGTTGTTTCCTTGGGGAAGAATCTTTGTATTCATTGCTCAGTTCTGTTAGGTTTTAGAAACAGATTCGATATCATGTCTTTAAACTTATAACTTCCTACACAATTGAACTTAATATATAGTTATCTCTTAATCTTAGATTTATTCAATTTCATTGTAAATATGTTTGTAGTTGATAACAGAAGGAAGTTGAATACTTGAAATCTAAGGAAATAGATAATTAGTATGAGTGCATTGTTATAGAATAATGCACGATTTCAGTTCAAAATGCGTAGTTATACAATTGATAGGCACGCAGGCTCTGCGTTGTTGTACTAGAATACAAGAACAATTCAGATCTATCTCAGTTCTTATATGAAAAATTGATATCTCCTTTAGTTTTCGTGTCAGAAAATGATATCTATTTCAGGTCTAATATGCTCATGAAATAAGAATCAATAAATTATGTTGAATAAAGATTGCACAAACGCATAGTTTTCTTGGCGTTATTTGGTTTATTGAACAGATGTAATATCTTTATGTTATATATATGACAAATAAATATTAATTTCCATCTTCTGTGCATTATCTTAAGTGCTCAATCTATACTGATTGGCTGTAAAATGGCCTATAGATAATTATAATGTAAAGTGCAACACCTTTTAGGCAAAACTAGAATAATAAGGGAAGTTTTCATAAGTAGCTCAGAAAAGAAATTCTTGAAAATTGGTCTGTTACCTATTCAAAAATAAAAAAAAACATTAATGCACAATGATTTCACATTTTTCAATAATGAGTTTCTGTTAACAAATATTGAATAATATATTTTAATGTTTTCATTATCACTTGCAAGGTAAATGCCAATACTTGTACAGAAAACATGTTAAGAATTTATATATTTTTTTTAATTTAACATATGATGTACTTAAGTTATCTTAAGTAGTAGCAATGTTTTATTGTTATGTCAATGTTTAAAATATTTCATTGGAAGTCCGTGGCAAATTGATTATGGTTGTTGACTTAAACTTGACAAAGTATTTGTCCCCCACCTCTGTAGGTTCGAATTCTGCCAAGAACATATGATTATTTCATGTGAAAAAGCTATCGAGCTAGCTTACGAAACATCGATGGCTCTTCTCAGATGCCAGGTTATACCTGAAATAATAAACAGAAGGGCATTTAAGTTTGCATCCACCAGTAAAGCAGTAAGTCGTCATATAGACCTTGATAGTGCTGTCTCAACGTAAAACAAAACAAAAAAAGAATATGTTTTATCAAGGGCTTATAAACACAACTGACTTAACATCTTAATATTGAGATTTACATCTTTTAAAATATTTAATTAATTAAACATAAATATTAAAAATTGTTTGTTGAACACTGATCAGATTGTTTTGATCTTTTTGTATCAAGTGGTGATTTGAACATAAAATTTGCCGAGGACAAAAAAGAATGCGATCTAAAAAAATACTGCAAATTGAACTTCCTTATTGAGGTTTACAAATTATCATTGTTTTATATTTATCAATTTGTTAAGAGATTTTTTTATTTAACTAAATTTATGTTCTTAAAATTTAGATATATTCGATATATTTTTTTATTCAATCAAGTTACAAACTGAGCCGTTCAGGGTTTTCTGTATTTTATATGTATGAGCAAGTTTAATTTTCATGGATCCTCGGGATATACTAGTATTCACATAATGGAAATTAAATTATCCCCTATATCAGTTACAGGTTTCCCACAAAGTTGGACATTCAGAAACTAGAAATTGTTACTTATTATGATAAAGATTTTAAGTGTATGACGTCATAAGTTCCTCTACATTTTAATATATCTCTGTAATTTTATATGTGATATTGTTACACATGTTTATGATAATGTGTTGATGCTACAATAATAGTTTGTCAGTCCTTTTTATAGCAAAATGTAATTTAATTTCTTTGAAATTTACGTTGTCATCCATGTATCTACTAGACCGGTGATATTAACACATAGTCATCAATGTCAGTTAAGCGAAAAATGGACATAAATGCTTAACGAAAACGCACCAATCTTCCGTGATCTTATTTTCATGGGCTTTAGAGTAAAAACAAGGCGAGGATCGTTGAAAACGATAGAAGTTTCAGAATAGCCCGTTAAACACGTACTTCAAAGTACAGCACTATTTTTGATTCCCGGGTATAAATTGCTAGATTCCTGTACCTTGGCACAAGTATTTTAACAGAAGTTGCTGATTACTATGCTAGAGTCCGCCGACGTATCTGCGTTCATGGAATTAAGCGCCTACATGGCAGGACACCTATCGATATACAGTTGTGGTTCTTTCTTATCTTTGGGGCAGTACTATTGAAACTTTACATGAACTTCATCCCTCATACAGCTATGATTTAGCTCCATGTGTTTAGTGACGCAACCCATACATTACAAAATAAATGAGAGGTCCGAATCCGGTAACACCGTCGGCAGCTCACTTTAAACTGAAAAAAAGTAACCGCTTTGAGTCCTGCAACGCCGTCCGCAGCTCATTTTTCCAGTGTTGAAACACTATACCTTAAGAAGCCTTCCGAATTTCTAAGTGGATACATGCATTTATCTTAACATGACACTAAT